TGAAGAAAAAAATTAACATCTGGGTTGCAATATTGAAGGGTTCTATGGGCACAGAGGAGCTCTGGTAGCGTAGCAGTTACGAATCGGGCTGCGAACCTTAAGGCCAGCAGTTCGAAACTACCAGCTGCTCCGCGGGAGAAAGATGAGGCGTTCTGCTCCCGTAAAGATTTATAGCCTTGGAAACCCTGTACAGAGTCACTATGGGTCGGAACCGACTCGACGGCACTTAACAACAACAACAACAACAATGGGCACAGAGTCCTGGTGTGGTACTGTGGGTTAATGAGCCAGACTGCAAAATCATTTGAACTGTAAGGTCGGTGGTTCAAGCTCACCAGCTGCTCCTTGGAAACCCTATGCAGGGTCACTATGAGCTGGAACTTTATAACAACAGCATGAGCAAAATATTGAATGATGCTAGAAACATCAAAGGAAGATGGAAGGAACAAAGAGTGACTGTACCAAATAGAATTGGTCGATGATCAACCATTTCAAGAGGTAGCAAATAGTCAAGAATCAGTGATACTAAAGGAAGAAGTCCAAGTTGCACTGAAGGCATTGACGAAAAACAAGGCTCCAGGAATTGATGGAATACAAATTGATCCCTCTCAAAATGAAAGTGCTCTCTCATCAGTTTGGAAGAGCTGGCCAACTTAATGGAATTGATTCATTTTTTGAGCCCCCTCCAAAGAGAGAGGACCTAATGAAATGCAGGAATCCTTAAACAATATAATTAATATCACATACAATTAAAATTTTGCTTAAAATAATTGAAAAATGGTTGCAACAGGACATCCTAAGGGAACTGCCAGAAATTCAAGTCAGATTCAGGAGAGGACATGGAACAAGGGATAATATTGCTGAAGTCATGGATCTTGGCTAAAAGCAGAGAATACCAGAAAGATGTTTACTTGTCCTTTGCTAACTATACAAAGTCTTTCTACTGTGTGGATCATGACAAACTGTATAACATTGTGAAGAATAGGTATTCCAGAACACTGAATTGTGCTCAAAAGGAACCTATACATAGACCAAGAGGCAGTTGTTTGATCAGAACAAAAGGATCGTGAATGGTTTAAAAGAAGAAACAGCGTGAGCCAGGGTTGTATCCTTTCACCATGCTACTCAATCTGTATGTTGAGCAAATAATCCCCAAAACTGGACTATATGAAGAACAATCTAGGATCAAGGTTGGAGGAAGACTCATTAACAACCTGTAATATATAGATGATACAACCTTGCTTCTGGAAGCAAACAGGACTTCATATACTTACTGATGAAGATCAAAGACTAAAATCCTCAGTATGAATTGCTTCTCAGTGTAAAGAAAACAACTGGGTCAATAAATAACATCATATATTGACAAAAGATTGAAGTTGTCAGAGTCTTCATTTTGATTTGGTCCACAGTCAACACTCATGGAAGCAACAGGCAAGAAATCAAGCAATGGATTGCATTAGGCAAATATGCTGCGCAAGACCTCTTTAAAGTGCTAAAGAGAAAATATATCAGTTTGAGGAATAAGGCGCTTCTGACCCAAGCCATGTTATTTTCAATCATCTCATATGCATGTGAAAGTTGGACAGTTAACAAAGAAGACCCTAGAAGAATCAATTCATTTGAATTAGGGCATTGGAGAAGAATATTGAAAGTACCATGGACTGACAGAAGAACAAACAAATCTGTTTTGGAATAAGTACATCCAGAATGCTCCTTAGAAGCTGGGGTGGAGAGACTTCATCTCACATTCTTTGGACATGTTGTCAGAAGGATCAGTCCCTGGGGAATGAATGACATGCTTGGAAAAGTGAAGGGTCAGCAAAAAATAGGAAGACCCTTAACAAGTTGGATTGGCACAGCAACAGCAAAAATGGACTCAAAATGTAATAACAATTGTGAAAATGACACAGGATGTGGCAGTGTTTCATTCTGTTGTGCATAGAGTCACTATGATTTAGAACCAACTGGATGGCACCTACAATAACAAAGCAGGCTAACTTGCCACATTTTCCTGTTTGAGAGAAGAGAATTCAAAGTCAAGACTTTATTAAGAAAAGTACTTTATTACTAATGGCACAGCAAGAACTGTGACCTTCATAGTTGTATTGATTCTGCATGCTCTACCCTCAATCTCCACAGAGGTGACACGGAGTGGTCCAGGTAGATGTTCAATGGATTTGTGTTACAGCTGAGGCACCTAAGGTTAGTGAACCCAAATTTTGTACAATGAATGTGCTTTAAGAAAACCTGCCTTAAATTTATGCCAAAGGAAGACATTATCTTTATTAGACTGTGTTGGGAGCAATTTAAGCTAAAGGTCTCAGACTTGGGGACAGTGTAACCGAAGGACTGCAACTAAGCAGTTGTGGTCCAGGAAATTGGGCTGCTCCCAGGTCAGACTGCCCCTGAGGAACTTGCAAAACCTGCCTCAGGGAACAAGGAATTTGTGGTCTTTCCTTGTATGAAGCCATGGTCTTCAGTTTAGTCTGCAAAAACATCTAGTTGCCTTATCTCTGTTTCCCTAGCAACTACATTCTTCTGACAAAGTCATGCTTACTGCTTGCATTTATTACAACAAAAGTTTTCTGCACTCTTTTCCCTGACTCCAACACCTTCTTTGATTTGTGTATATAATAAATAGGCTGAAACTAAGTTGGAGCCATAGTATCCCCATCAGAGTGCTGTATCCCGCCTGGTTTCAACTTGTATTTATTTTCAATTTGTGTCTTGTGCCTTCTTTTATTTCTAATCTCCTATCACCTCTACTCGAGTTTAATCTCTCTGTGCAGGTCACAGAGTATAGCTGATTGTTGGACGTGGCAGTTGGTCACAGCAAGACTGGACAGTAAACAGACCTGTGCTCTGCTTCAGAGACAGATATATCTTCCAAGGCTGCTCACTATACAAATATCCTTGGAAAACTAGTCTAGAATAAAAGATAGTGCCTCTGCTTATAAAATGGGCAGAAACATGTGAGAACAATGGAAAATTGGTTCCCAGTGCTCATCTTTGTGTTTAAGCAGTTTGCATAGTTATAAAGCGAAAAGTTTTGTATGCTATTTCTTTTGTGTGCAAAAGAATAAAGCTTAAAAAATTTCCTTTGAATGCATTTAAAATAATATTTAGGTAAGTTTCAGATTTAGGTAACATAAATGTTTAATTCATAACAATTTCAATTTAATGTAATCTTGGATCAAAATAGTTATTTTATTTCCTTGTGTCAAAAGTATATGTTCCATATAAAGAAATACTAATTAGGATGTCATGTGAAAATACATTTTTAAATAAAATGTTCAGTGCAACACAAATTTGCATGAAGGTAATAGTTTACTGACTTTGAGGCCACATAATGGTGAACAACCTTAAAGAATTCATTATAAAGAAATGTATTAACTTTCTAAATTAAGGTAGTTCTGTAGACGAGCAGGAATTAGAAGAGAAAATATTCCATTTGGGAGCATGTTGTTGGTTAATAGTTGAGCTCTGATGGTCAGTCTACAGAGATGTACTAGTTCACATGGATCTTTATATCTTGTTGAAGGAATGTAATCCAACCAATTTGAAATAATTGGACGTCTTCCTAAACTCAGCTGTGTCTGGAGAAAAGGGAAGGAAATATTTTATTTTTATATTAATCATTGAATTAATATAAATCATTAACACTTTATTTTATATAAATTCAGAAAACATCTTAAATTTATATAACCTTTATAATTTTTTTTTTAGCAAAATACTTTCATCTGAAATAGGTATAAGATTTTCATTGTGTGTCCTTCAACATAATATTTAAACTTGATGTATCACTGTGAGAATAAAGTAAAATAAAGCAAAGTACATTATTTCTTATAATTATGAATCTGGGAACAGCTAAAATTTTAGGCTTTAAATTTTAGATGGTCCATACACTTACGTTTTATCATGTTCTCCTTATTAGTTCACTAATAGAACTGAGCCTCAAAAACACATACAGGGAGTCCTGTCATACTGAAAGATGCTCTTTTAAGTTTGCTAGGGTACCTTTGGTAGCATAGTGGTTACGAATTGGGCTGTGAACCTTAAGGCCAGCAGTTCGAAACTACCAGCCACTCCACGGGAGAAAGATGAGGCATTCTGCTCCCGTAAAGATTTATAGCCTCGGAAACCCTGTACAGGGTCGCTATGGGTAGGAACCGACCCGATGGCACATAACAACAACAACAGGGTATCTTTAAAAATTTTTAATTCTAGAAGCTAAATTTTGTTAGGATAACTTGAAGGTAAAAGGAATTGGTGTATTAAAGAAACATTTCTTCAGTAGAACCTATACTTAATTAAGAAATCTTGTGAAAATATATTTTTTAATAAAATGTTCAGTGGAACACAAATTTGCATGAAGGTACATGGCACCTTTATTTTAAATGATACATGACTTATTGATTATTTATTCAATCAACATATGCTATTTAAACATAGTATGTACTCAGCACTGAGTTAAGTGCTTGAAATACATGTTGTTAAGTGCTACTTGTTAGGGTATGCAAAATGCAGTCACTGCTCACAAGACCCATGGTCTACAGGTAAAGATATCTAAACACATACAAATGGGCTTCAAAAAGTTGGTAGATGGTGAAAAGATATGGGGATAAGATTCTTATGATTCAATAGTGAGTAATTGTTATTATGACTAATTGCAACTGTCACAACTGTAAAGGTAGAAGTTTTGTAACAAAAAGAGGGGAGCAGTTAATCTTACAGTCCAGGGACAGAGAACCTTAGGACCATCAAGGGAGAATAGCACAAACAGAATGTGGGACCCTATCCAGAGAAACAGCAACAGCAGAGATGGAGGCAGAGATGAGGACATGGAGAGATAGAGCAGCTGAGGACTCTAGACTCATGGAAAAAGAAAGGCTGTGTGCTGGTGGCCAGGAGGCAGGCTTGCAAAATGTGTTCTGTGACTGTATAAATGATTATATATTCCTGAATGTTTTATGTACATCAAAAAAAAAAAAACCAAAAAACAACAACAACAAAAAAAACCCACACCCAGAATAGAAGCAAATACTGTTAACTGAATGATGGTGCACGGAGGAGATTGTAATCATTACAATGAAACAATGAGTGTAAAACCAATGTTCTTCCATGTAAACTATCATGCAATTCACAATAAAATCCTTAAAAAAAATTTTTTTTTGGAAAAATTCCATTATCTTTTCATTTTATTTTTCCACAAACCTTAAATAAATGCATACCAAGCAAAGAATTTTCTTCTTTAAAACCCCTTCATATATATGTACTATGATAGAGGAAATTACTTGGAAGTATGGAAATATAAAGTAGAGGCATTTAAAATGCTCTTTAAGCCAGTTTTTATGTTATTCCTCTCATTCTTGCTCAGTGCTATTTTACTTCAATTTATTAAACTTGCACTGGTTGGGATCCAACTATAAATTATTTGCCATTGAGCCAAGAGATCTTGGTTGACACAGTTTATACTAGTTACTTTTCTATTGTGGATATACTTCTGAAATAGCATTCATGGAACTGGTTAAAAATTTATATTTGATTTCTGTAATGAGTTATCAAAATAATCTGACAAATTTGCCGTTTTACATTTTGCCTAGGTATAGATGATTAACATTTCTTTTTGTGGCTTAAGACGAAATAAACCCCCAAATATACCCTAGAAGAATTTGACCTAATTTTACTTCTAAAGTCACATTTTTAAAGATTAGGGATCTCCTAGAGTCTTTAGAAGTATGGTTTAGATACATAGGTGTATTTTTCTCTGATTGAGCCAATTTATTTCTTGCTACTAGTAGATATGATACAATTGACTAGGTGAACAGGCTTTATATACAGTTTATGTCTTTCTCTAAACTTGGTTTATTCCAAAGAATGAATCAACGAGAAGCTCGCCAAATCTTGTTGAGATGGATATTGAACAAATATTTAAGCCTTTATTTAGATTTTTATATGTACCTGAAATTATTTGGGGGTTTAAAAGAAGAAAATTATTTTCTTGGTATGGATAAATGTAACTCATTTTGCAATATTCCAACGGAATGGAGGTTTGCTAATTTTTAATTGTTAAAAAAAGACATAAAAGTCTTAATGTGTTGTAATTTGCTGTCAAGTTGGTTCCAACTCATAGCAACCATTTATAGGATTTCCGGGTTTATAAATCTTTGTGGGAGCAGAAAGCCTCATCTTTCTCCCATGGAGCGATTGGTGGATTAGGACCACCACCCTGAGGTTAACAGCTCAATTCATAACACTATGTAACCTGCACTCCCAAAGTCTTAATGTTGTTGTTGTTATGTGCCGTGGAGTCGGTTTCCGTTTCATAGAGACCCTGTACAGGGTTTCCGAGGCTGTAAATCTTTGTTGAGTACCCTGGAGTCGGTTCCGACTCATAGTGATCCTGCACAGGGTTTCCTAGGCTGTAAATCTTTACGGGAGCAGAATGCTTCATCTTTCTCCCACGAAGCAGCTGGTAATTTCGAACTGCTGACCTTGCGGTTTGCAGCCCGATTTGTAACCACTACGCTACCAGAATTAGACTGTTATAATAACATTGTTGTTGTTGACAAGTGCTGTAGAGTCAATTCCAACTTGCTAGATCCTGTGTATGGTTTCCAAGGAGCAGCTGGTGGGATTAAATTTAATAATTACTAAAATTAGCTATCAATTTAACTTAAAATATCCTCCCTATTTGGAAAAACAGAATTACAAATAAAGGACCAATAGTGTCTGAGATAATCTGGATTTTTTTATTTTTAATTCATATGTACAGTTTTCCTGTGCTATCTGAAGGTTGTTGTTGTTGTTGTTAAGTGCCATCAATCAGTTCGACCCATAGTGCCCCTATATAGGGTTTTCCGAGGAGCAGCTGGTGAGCTTGAACCACCGACCTTGCAGTTCAAATGACTTTGCAGTCCAGTGCATTAACTCACAGTGCCATACTATGAGCCTTTCATAAATCAAAATAGTGTAAATTAAAAAAGCAATTAACTTTCAGTTTATGTGGGAATTTTTTTGAGTGCTTCCAGACTCAAACAATAACCTACCCAATCATTCCAAATAACACATAAAATGGAAAATAACACTAACATATAGTAAAAGCAGGAATGAACTGATAAATACACACCCCATATCAAATGAAGGAGCGCTGGTGGCATAGTGGGTTATGAGTTGGAATCGACTTGATGGCAGTGGATGTGGGTTTGGTTTGTTATATAGAGTAGATATAACGCATGCACATTGTTATTCCTGGGGAAGGAACTTTAGGATGCTACTCTCACTGCGCTGAGATACTGTCCCTCTCTAACGACTCACTGCAAAACAAACGCTGAAAGCTATTTTTGTGTTTGCCTTTTTTCTTAAAAGAAAAAAATCCTCTTTTGATTTCTTTCAGTTATTGAAAGCTGGTACTAACACAGGTCTTATGTAAAAGGAAACTGACATAAAGCAAACTTTCAAACTGTGGGGAATACCTGATACAGTTAATGATTAATTTGTCACTGGATGTAATCCATAGATAAAAATTTTACTTCATTCTTGTCTTCACAGTTTTATCTTAAAATTGTTCAATATTTGAATCCCAAACCCAAGAGCAACATTTTGCTTACCTCTATTTCCCTGACTGAAATGACAGAAAGTACTCTGGTACACAGCAGTAAGCAGGTTTTGGCATCTTCTTGGATGTCTACCAATTCATGATCAACCATTATCCTCACTCTTGACGGATAGAGCAATATTGTTAACACAATGTTGATAGGGTTTCTCTCTCTTTCTAATATGCCATATTGCAGGAGTATATTTAAGATATTGGACTGTCTTGTCTGAGCTACATAAAGGAGAGGTGTGATGCCACTTAGTGGGCTTGGACAGTACACCGGTGTGAAAGTTCTGTGAATCAAATCAAATGAGAATTTACTGAAGATAGTAAGAAGCATGTAAACATTTTATCTTAACAGTAATAAAAAATTAGTAGTGGTATCTTAAATAGTCAATGTCTTAAATAACCTTCAATATAACTTTGTTGTTTTTGTTGTCAGGTGCCATCGAGTCAGAACCGACTCATAGCGACCCCATGCACAGCAGAACGAAACAATGTCCGATCCTGGGCCAACCTCACT